TTTGACTTGCCTAGTCTAAACCCAGCTTTATTCAATGAACAAATAAGTCCATCAAAATGTTAACTTTTCAACTTCCTGAAATGTCTTTAATCTTCCCTAGGAATTTTCAACCGCCTTACCCTGTATGATATTTTCCGATTCTTTTCGTAAAGCTATTTCCCTTGGAAGCTTCTTCTGGCTTCGTTCGAAAGGTTCTTCTGTTTTCTACCTTCAGTTTTTTCAACTTCCCCGGAACTTCAGGAATGCTTTCAGAATTTTATTGCGGTTCCTTAGCGACTTCAGGAAAACTGCAGAAACTTCTCAGAAGTTCGGAAACTTCAGAATAGTTCGGACTTTTGGGCAAGATTAAAGATCTGTAAGGGTAAGTTCCGATAAATTCAAGACATATCAGGCTTCTGATTCGCCAACATCTCGATAGGAGTCTTGCTTTCCGAAATAGCATTGGTCGGACTTCGGTTCATGAGATAGACCCCAGCTAGATCAGCTTCATTCCACATACCCAAGCAGCACACTTCCATCTAAATAAGTTGCAGCAACTTAATTGTGACTGGAATAAGTAAACTCAATTGTTCAGTGACAAGCGTGTTGCTAGGGTACGTTTCGTAGCCTTGGACTCGATCAGCATCATACGAACTTTCTCGATTAACGTCCGATTGAATTTCTCGGAGACTCCATTCTGTTGTTGTGGAGTGTATGCAACAGTTGGTTCTATCTGGATACCCTTCTCGGAATAGAATCGTGCCTGGTCCTTTGAGCAGCATTCTCTGCCCTGATCCACGGTAAGCTTCGAGATTCGGTGGCCCGTTCCAGCTGAAACCATCGCTTCATAGTTTCGAAACTTCTCGAATACCTCTGACTTACCGACTTTACCGAGAACCACCCGAAGAAACATCGGAGTGCCCGTGTACTAACGGTCTTTCAGATCTTACTCGTGTGCCGTTGAATGGTTCTCGGCACTGCCTCCCGAGAACACAACATCACAAAAATCACGTTTACCTTGTTCCATGGTCATACCTGATATCATTGCCGTTAGTTTACGCAGATTTTGTATCCCGAGGTGACCTAGCCTGCGGTGCCACAAATCAACATTGCCAGCAGTTGCATGCTACAGGTAAACGTCTAGCTTGTAGAAATCGCCTTTCAGAGGATGCATACCTACAATCTCACCATTGTGGTTCATCTCAGCCGATTTTTCTCCAAACAACACCTTGAATCCAGCTCTAGTCAGCTTTTTCACAGATAGAAGGTTCGCTGACGGGATTCTTCATCCTTTCAAGAGATTCGAAATATCCCTTCTGGTTCACCGGATGGTCACTAGCTCCTGAGTCCAGCTTGAAGGAACTTTTCTTTGATCGCCGCTATCAGATTACCTACCACCCATGAACGCCACAGCCTTTCCGCCACTTGCTGCATTCGCTTCCGCATGAATCTTGCTTCTGCCGTCCTTAGCCAGGTGTCCTTTCTTGTTACACCGATTGCATTTACCTGTGAACTTCCGTGGCTTCTGTTTGATTCCGACAAACGCTGAGGGCTCCTCGTTGTGCGTCAGATTTCTTCATTTCTTCTGCCAAGAATTTCGAACGGCATCATCTTTCATTCTCTTCATCAATGTTCTCTAACGGGTCGTAGGATCCCGGAAGTTCTAGCTTTGCTCCTGCTGACTTCAGTTTCCGAATTATCTCGTCGAAATGGTCCTTGCTTGATGCATCTTCGACCATTATCAGCTTTGCGAGTTGCTTGCGAATAAGCGTTTGCGACGAAACCGACTTCTTGGTGTAGATTTCTTCCAGAGTGCTCCCAATTTCCTTAGCCGTTTCTTTTACACGAATCAAATGCAGTAAATCCTCGTGGATGAAGAAGATCATCACATTCGTTGCCTTTCCATCTAACTCTTGACATGTCTTTCTTTACCACATCATCCAAGGATGCTCATCAGTTGATGACGAATTCAACCATAAGGCAATCATTCTTAATTCAAAAGCATATTGTTAAAGGGCTCGAGCAATGCAACAATCGAACGAAGTATCGCGGATGTTTTCGTTCAGTGTAAAACCAGGTCCCATTAGTTCCCATGAGGTTGCGGTTGCCCCTTCCTAGTATTTTTCGACAATGCATTTCTCCTTCACTTCTTCTTATTTCCTTTATTTAACGTCGGTCTCTATTCCGAAATCTGGTGCCAATCACCGCCGGATATCGATTGCCATCCATTGACGCCAATCGAATTTGCAGGACGGCAGTTTCCACGCCTGCGTAGGATATCGCACCCATTCAAACACACATGGGCCGGGACCAACGGTTCTACTTCCCTTCCGAAGGAAGACGTGACCAGAGATTGTTATGCCTTAGAAAAATCCCACCGACCTCGGCTGGGATTGAACCCAGACCCACTGGGTTAAGAAAGCAGTTACGCTTACCATTACACCACCGGAGCCGGCTGCTAGACCGATGTTATCCTTGCGATTGCAAACCAAAACATTCCAGCTGTCAGAAATACCGGGTTGTCAAATATACACTGCACACTGAGCAAAAAGATGATCAAAGATTGGTGTGCGGAGTGACCTACCCCTTGGTGTTTTCACTCATTGGCGATTATTCATTAATGGTCACTACTCTGAAAAAAAAAGAAGGTTCACATCGATTGTGTTAAACTCACCAAAGATTTCCATTCGTCTTCAGTAACTTCGTTGATTTCCGCTATTGCCAATTCCATTAGGAAGAATTATTGCCATCCAACCGAACAATTTCCACCTGTAAAATTGAATTGCAAAACCTTTCGTATAAATTTACTCCAAACTGCATCGCCTATGGATTACCTCCAATAATACGACTGTGCTTCAAAACGGACTATCAACAGAAGCCGCCACATCCTCCAACAACGGTTTTTCCTTCGTCGACGACTTCGCTTCTGTTATGCTTCCCCGCCACTGACCTCTAAATTTCGTGCACAGCACCAAGTAGACTGTGTTGTACATTCATCGTCTCACGATTTCATGCGAGTTATGGCACGGGGGTTTTCCCGACATTGGACACCGGCCAAAACCAAAAAAAAAAAAAAGATCGCTTCTCCGAAACGCGTTCATATTTATGTTTTCGAGAGAAATTCAGTACTTTTGGCAGCAGCTACCGACCGATGCTACTCAGCTTCATTACCGAGAAGACGAAAAACGAGCTTGTTGAAAACGGCTAATTGCGAAAATAGAACCCGCCTCGCAGGCTGACAGCGGTTTGTTTACAGTGCAATAATTGATCGAAACCAGCCGGACCAGAAGACCAGCGCCAACTTGACTGCCGACCGAGAGCGACCAAGTGGAACGCACTCTGCAAGACACTTCCTCATTTCAGTTCTTCTGTATCCTGATTAAATCATTCGATGGTCTTTTGCGCCGGGCATGCTTCGAGTTTGGTTAATTTCCGTTGGAATTTGGGTAAATTTCCGCCTTCGGTGGAATTACAAGAATTCATGTAAACAAAGATAATGGACGATCCCTGCGGCGAAGCTCTGATAACAACATATTGCAGCTTTTTCCTAGAAAGAAGAAAAAGCAGACGTAAAACTGACCTTTGCGATAGCGTTTACGACATGGCCGAACGTCATGCAGCTCTGTCAATATGGTACGTGCCTTTCATGGTGATGCCCACACACAGTATCGCTTAACTTGGGCCGCCAAGAGGAAAACAAGAGTGCACTTTCCTGTCGAGAGACAGAGCGAGCGGGTATTTCCCTCCTCCATCCACACGCAGGTTCGGAGAAAATGGTCATGCGGTCAGTTTATGACCGGAAACTTATCGACGCCGATAGCAATTCCGATTGTCCATACGCCCACTGGAATTGAAATGAAACATGGATTTAACGAAAAAACAAATAAGAAGGAAAAAAATCACCATCAAATATGCGATAATGGCGACGAGAGAGGCGTCACAAATTACCGGTCTATATGGTAGGACTTATCGTGCAGCTCTCTACTAGTAATGACTGAGTGTATTTTGCGCGTCAGCAAACAGTCAAATGATGATGATAAGGTCGCCGTCGCCGTGTAATCACAGAAAACCGTGCGGTTTGGTTCAGCTCAGCTCCCCGTATCAGGCAGCAGGCGAGTAGCTCTAGAACGACCAAATGAATCATTTGTATTTATAATCATATATGAGTGATTCGTCCGAATCGAAGGAGCAAAGAGCGTTCCGCCGAGGTTTCATGTACTAAATTGAGACGCTGTTGTTTTTGCTCATTATCAGTCGGGTCTGGTTCGGTTGGTGAATCTTGCTTGGGAAACTATCGTGTATGATGCAATCTGTGATTTGTGAAATTTTAGATGTTTTTTAGCTGAACAGACGAATTAAAAAAAAATGTTCCAAGTTCCCACCCCTTTAGCAACCTTGGCAAAACATGACAGCCCAATACACGTTGAAGCAGAAACTGATTAGATAAGGGTCAATTATACCCAATTTGGGTTCCGAAATTTGTAAACAAAACCAGCTGACATCCATTTCGTCGCATCAGCAATCGAAAGTACAAAAAGAAGCACACAGCGCAAAATAGAAAACGCGAGCAAAGAATGTGCAAGAATTTTGCGCTCTCTAAAAATACACCTCGCATCCTACGGTCAATCAACGCTGCGCGTCTTGATAGCTAGCTTGCACAGATAACACGCGCAAACCCAGCCTCACCAGGATCCACTCAGCTGTACAAGCGGACAGTCTGCTGTTGTCTGTGACACCGGCAATTAAAACATTAACATGACTTGTTCAAAATGCTCTATGTTTACAAACATACGGCACACTACAATTCTCCACCCGAAAGCATGTTTACTTCTACTCAGCAGAGATTATACTACGGCAAACCGGCTATTTTTAGGGTCAAATTCTCAGAAACCATCGCACAAATACAACCCCTCTCGATGATCCCCAGCACCGAGCGAGCGCGCTGAGAGCGAGCGGCGAAAATCCGAAGTGGGAAATTCGCCAACTTTTCCCAAAAGGCAGCTTTTCCCGACGTCCGATATTCTCAGTTACGAAAACGACATCCAACGCGTCGCGCGCCGTGTGATTGGACGAAATTCCGCAAGCGCGATCCTGAATACGCGGAAAATCGGGCAAACCACACATTCGATCTAATCCATCGTCCGCGGCGAGCGAAGCGCGTTGATATTTCCTTTTTTAAGTTTTTTAAAAATTTTATCCAATCGAACGAACGACGAATTTTTCGTGTGGTGAAAAACGTGCCCTTGAAGACCAGCTGATCGCACCGCGGCAAATCGAGAAAAGTCGCGCTAATTTGTTGCACGTTTCCGCCGAACATACGAAAATCAAACGAACCAACCAAACGGTTAATGTAGGGAAAAAACGAACCGCAAAGAAATCCGTCACCGAACCCGAAGTAAAAGAAAACTTGCGCTTCCTAGTTTGTTTAAAGAGACCGAGACACCGCGAAGCCAGTTATCCTCGTCACAGTAAATTTGAGAATCCCAAAAAAAAAAACAGCGGATGACGTAATCTCGTAAAGTTAGCTTAGTTTTTTTTCGCTGTCAAATCGTGTCCAAATTAAGCGAAACGCTTCCTCCAATAGGTGACCAAAGGCGTTCGTGAAGGTGTACTGAATTAAATCGCCAAACAACAACAACGACAACAATCGGAGGAAAGCTGAACGAAGGATTGTCCGGTCTAGTTGATCCGGTTTCCAAAAGACATAAATCAAGCGAAAATTAGTGTAAATATTTGTTTTGGCAAGAAGATGCAGCGAGAAAGATCCGTGTTTGAGGGTGTTTGCATTATTGCACAGAAAATAAAAAAGTGGGATATTACCTGATGGCGAAGTAGAAAAAAAAAACGTTTTGAAACGAATCACGCATAAAAATAACGCTCCCATTAGAACGAAGCGGGCGGCAGGCGAAGAGCAACCCACTAGGATTAAGATCTTTGCCTTGCTGCACTGACAATCAAGTGTGCGTGTGTGAGTGTGGCTATGGTGAGCGAGCAAACAAAGCAGTCGGAGAGCAAAACATTAAATTGTCACACTTTCTCTAATCTAGCAAGCGACGCGTCAGCCACTTGATTTAGTGTCATAGTGTAGTCACACATTGTAACGTAGTTGATTTGCACTTGATTTGATTCAAATCATAGTCTTCACGGCTAGATGGACAAGCGGAGGTTATGTTTGGCTTACAAGTTGTTGACCAGCTATAACAACAGCTCACTTATTTGACAGCAGGCGATCGACGACAAATGGGAATCCCAAGATCGTAGTGGCTCTTCTGAAATGCAAGCGTACCCCATAGTCCAACTTTTGAAGATTCGATATGGTTTTAAATAAAATCTATATGGTTTTAAATAGAATCATAGATATGCCGATCCCTCTCCATCTGTATTACTGTAAACATTGAGTACTTATTCATGTAGGAACTGTCAAAATACTATGAATTTACATGCACGAAAACAAGGTTCTCACCTCTACTAAGATCTGTATACATCTTGCGTGAGTCACACTCAAATTTGCTGAAAATAAAAAAAATAAAAGGCTGGATTTAACCAAAGATACTGAATTTGGGTAAAGAGGCGACATCTTAACCATTTGACAAGTCTTCTGCTCGATTGAAATAACTTTTTCTATGACTTTGACAGATAATCGATCTAATTTTGACATGTCGTCTCTTAAGAAATTCAGCCTCTTTAGATTTAACAATTCCATTGTGGTAGTAAGCTCCAACTTGGATTACTTTTAATCCCTTCCTCGAATGGATGATCTGACCGCTTGCTCAGCAATGTTTACAAAATTTTTGTTTCTAACACCTGCCTGTTGTTCCAGATCTTGTAGGATTGACATCGGGAGCCCTATTCCAAATAGGGGAATTTACGTATCCTTGTCAATTTAAGCAGCATCCGCACTTCTCTAGAACTAGATTTAGTCTCCTCCCGAAGGAGACCAAGTCACACTTTACGTAAATCACTTTCTTCACCAAACATCAAGGGGCAAGACAGCTCCTAATCATGAGCAATTTCAGAGTTGCTTTTGAGGCACCTCAAGTAACTCACATAGCTCAGTGAGCAAAATCACTATCATTTGCTTTCTCACTCCAGACGAGTATGATTGCGATCGGTACCTCAATTTCCTTCGGTTTCCAGCTCCCGGGATCTCCTTTCAAATGGCCTCCGGATTTATTATCAGTGCGTGGACTAAGAACTAAAATCGACTCGTTTGTCTTGGCTGTTGTGGAGGCTGAATATGATTTGATCGTACTGCCGGATCTATTCATCGCAACTTGATTGCTGTCTCAACGAGACTAGCCAGCTACCTAAGTACCTCGCCCATCTCCAGTCTACTGGATCAGCTCTGCATTGTCGTGGAATTTACACAAAACATTCCTAGTATAGGCGTTGTCTATGCGCCTCCCGACGATCATCCGTGAGCATGTGGCATCGTTAGGCTCGATTGAGTCCCCGCTCTCCTATTTGACTAATCAAACTGGTTTGCAGTGGCACTTCACCGACTGCGGCACACCATTCATTGACCCACTGCTATCGCATATACCGGTGGCTTGCTGTGCTCGTTTGAACTGATTCAACTTACACGGTTTTACTCAAGTAAACACTTTTCCGAACCGAAATGGACGTTTGCTAGATCTTGTCCTGGCAAATGATTTCGGAATACCAAGCACTTCTACCATAGAGGTAACTCTAAGACCAGAAGGTCCCGAAGAAACGTGCTCAACTTTTTGGCTCAGCTCTGGTACTATCTTCGGTCTAATGCTAATCGATGCACCCCTCGAAACCTAGGAAATCCACGAACCTCTCATTTTATCTGTCAAACTTTCATAGCGAATCAAAACAAACACAGTATAGTACTAGAATTTCGACTAGAATGGAGTACGTTAATCGTTTGCTTGGGACCAATAGGTTAGTCAAGTAGTGAGCCATTTGATTTCCGTTAGTTTCCACCGGTTGCTTCTACTTCTTTGCCGATCGAGCCTCAGATCGGTCTAGATGCTGACCATTCCGCTCTCGTCGTGTCATTCAATGATGCTGTAGATTTATCCGGAACGGTGCTAGAAGATGCTATTTTCCGCATTGTCCCAGTAGTACGATGACCCTCGCAAAAGCCTCCGTGGTCGAACCCACACCTGCGGACGCTAAAGCGTCAACGCTCAACTAACCTCCGAAAGTACTGCAACTCTCGTTCACCGTACTCCATACGACTGTTCAATTTCGCTATCGCTATTGAAAATACAATCATTTTCTTTAAAATCGACACGTGAGACGCACGGAAGCGAATCTTCGCACAAACCCGAAAAGTTTCTGGTCGTATGTTCACTCCAAACGGAAGGAATCCGGGTTGCCAAAAAGCTCTTCCAAAACAGTAAAAGCAGCAGCAGCAACCAATCGGCACAGAGAAGCCTTAACACCCATGCACTGGCGACGGAGGCCCCCTTTGGAAGCTTTCCCAGCATCGTTCGATCCGTCTCTCTGGATAAGTTCTGGAATTCTCATCCCTTCAATAGCCGATCTGAGCATATTTTGTTTACAAACAAGTCCGACGCCTAATATGTGAAGGCGGTAAACGGAGTAATCCGGGGGGTAAACAGAAGCATCGTTGAATGTAGATTAAATTTTGAGGTACATTGAGTTACTCGCTGCAAAAAAGAAACTCAGGTTGCAGAGTAAAGCTGTCTCACTCCTTTCCAAAAATAGAAAACAAAACACCTCCACTGTTCGTCTTACAACTTACTACTCACTCAATTCCAGCACAACTTCACTTTCTTTGCAACGGGAACAGCATCCGGATTAAACTTTCTCATCACTGTCTTTCCAACAAACGTAAAATTCAACTGCTCTCATGTCTATAACTGCATCAGAAACACTTCCGATTCACTTTGATTTACAAGCCAAACTAGCAGCAAGCGCACCTGCTGTCAAACGAAATCAAAACAAACCAAGAGTACTCTCAAATCAAACCACTCATATTGGTGAGTTAAAACTAGCTGCGTACTTTGTTGCAGTTCTCCAAGAAATGTGATAAACGGTTACTTCCACCACAGACCGAGCGTTCTCTTTGGGGAAGGGGGTCCCTAATACGGCTTCCCTTATTGTTGCAACATCAACATGCAACATACCTGTCTGTGCCGTCCTAATGCGTCTCAAACACGTGACTTCCTCCGGCAAGTTCAAGCTGTGGAATGTCCTCCACTCTCTTGCTATCCTCATGCAAATCAAATTGACCGATAACTATTATAGATAAGAAACCTACGCACAATGGATGCCTGTGAAATTGCCAGCTTTCTAGCAAAGGAACTATTTATGAATCAGGTATTGATTCAGGGCTTAAAAAAAAACCATCCACAACCACCTCGAACAAACCAATTCAACCCTTCTCTCTTTCTCTCTCTCTCTCTATTCCCATTCCAGTTCGCCTCGTTCGATGGCATACACAGTGGCGTCCCGACGAAAACGACCCCCACGCTGACGCCCACCACGCTCAAGAACATCGAACAGACGTTTATGGAACTGACCAACGATACCTCCAGCAACATTCCGTGCCAGGCCGGGTTCGTTCCGCCACCGTTCCAGTTCGAGGACCACAGTCAGGACCAGGAAAACAGCCGCGAATCGATGAGTTCGGACGTTTCGAACAACTCCTGGCAGGTGACACCCCCGCCAGTCATATCGGAGGACTTGGACTCCAAATCGTCGAGCACTTCGTACGAGCGAGAAGCGACCGTCTCTCAGCCACGACTGATGGCGGCAACCGTATGCGGTGGCGTTGCCAATCTGGCTGCCCTGACTCCATCCCATGCGATGCAACAGGGTGCCTCCGGTGGCAACCGAAAGCAAGCCGGCCAGAACGCTGGAGCGCCTGGCACTTCCCGTCGCAACATGGGCGGCCGCCGTCCCGCCAAAGCCAATAACCTCTCGCCCGAAGAAGAACAAAAGCGCGCTGTGCGCCGCGAACGGAACAAACAGGCCGCGGCACGATGCCGTCGGCGACGGGAGGATCACACCAACGAGCTCGTAGACGAAACCGATCTGCTGGAAAAGAAGAAGCAAGCGCTTCAGGATGAAATCAAACAACTCCTAAACGAAAAGGAAGACCTGGAGTTCCTGCTCGAGACCCACAAGGAACACTGTCGTTTCCATGGTCGCCACAGCCCGGTGGAGCGGAAACCCGTCGAGTTGATCCAACAACAGCACTTGGCAACGGATCTCAAGGTCATTCTTCCGATGAAAATCAAAGCCGAACCGGAAGAACATCCCGAGCAACCACCAGCGAAAAAGTAAGTCCCAACCCAAACAGTAAACAAACAAAGCATTCACTAACTTCCAACTTTCTGTACCTTCTCTTCAGATTGATCCTCTCCAACGCACTCAGCGACAGCTTGGACACCCCCACGCCAACGACCATCACGCCCGTCTTAACCAGTGTGAATCTTCCGCGACTGATGCTCCCTACCACCGCCATCAATGGGCGACCGGCACGGCCGGCCAGCTTGGATGTGAAAGCGTCCACCGCCTTCCCGTTGCGTAACATCACCGCAGATGCCGGCATCGGTATCTCGACGCCGTCGAACGGCTTCTTCAACTTTGATAGTCTGATGGATGGCGGTACCGGCTTGACGCCCGTTGCCGCCCCAATTTCCCTCCAATCGAATCGTGGTCCGCTGGATCTGATGACGCCCACCAGCAGTGAACCGTCGAAGCTGTACAGTCTGTGAGACGAGGTCCGACGAGTAGGGTGCAAAAACGAAGAAGCAATTAGAGTTGACGTTTCTGAGAGTGTAAACGATTGATGAGAACGAGTACCCCGAGCGAGTCTTAGATCAAAGATGGCGTTGTGATTTTAACTTTAAAAAAAAACTTTTGTACGTGGAATATTACAAAGACACACAAGTCTAAAAAATTCTAACTTAGCGGTCGCCATTTTGTAACTAGACGTAGAATTAATGTATATATCTTTTATTTGTTTTTAGTTTTGCTAGATTTTAATCCTACCAACCCCCCCCCCCCCCCCCCCCCCCGATCCCATTAATTGGAAAATGCGAAAACCAGAAAATGTTTATTGATTTGTTTTATTTTTACCAAACGAAGATTTTTAATTTAATTTAAGCGAATAAAGATGTAAACATTCTTTTATAGTAAAACGAGAACGAAATGCTTTGTATCCTGTGCCTTTTTCCTCCAGAAATTTTCCGCTTAACTTCGTATTGTTGTTTTTTTTTCCTTCTTGGTTTTATTAGTCGTAACAATGATAGTAACCAACCGGTTAGAAGTCAATGCTATTGCAAGTATTATTGATCAATACACACTATGTAGAGAAGAGGAGCAAGTCTTTGCGCAGGCAGAAGAAAGAGATGGAAGTGCAACGAAAGTTTGAAACTTTCTACCTCCATCAGGCGAGTTTTGGACCATTGATTGGGATATTTTAAATAGAATAACGAAAGTGGAGAGGAAAACGAACGAAACGCCATTGTAGATGACAAAGACAAAGAGCAGAATTATTTACAACTTATTTCATCTACACGCGAAAAAGGAAACTACGAAAAGCTTTTTCGATCCCGAGGGCCTACTGCGATTTGGTTTGCCTTCACTATTTTTTTTAATAAAAGAGTGGCCTACTTTTGTAGAAAACGATGATATTTGCTGTCAAAAGAAACAAAAAACTAGTGTGCGAAAATAACCAGAACATGAAGCAATCTGATTTTTTTTTGAGGTTAGAATATGACGAACCAGAAAAGCCATATTACTGATAATAATAATACAATTGATACCAAATAGCTGCTGCAATAAGAAAGTGTTGAAGGGATGCTCATTGAGTGGAAATAAGAAAGAAATCCATTAAGAATATTGCGATTGATCTTCCTTTTGAGACTCTAGTCTTTTTTTTATATAAATCGCCGATTTTGAAAGGGCCCATTAAAATATTACGCAACGCAAAAGGGAGTGGGGGTAATCTGGAAATGTGTTAACCACCATGTATTAGGTAAAAGAAAAGTGCGTGGGGGTGGGGGATTTAAAAAATCCACTTTGTTTCGGTACATAATATTTTAACGGGCCCATATTACCACTACCATATTGGAATACCGTGGATCCCCGGTAATCTGACCGTTCTTAATCTGAACACTTTTTTTTTTATTTGAAGCCCGCTAATCTGCACGCCGTGCAAACTAAAAATTACTTAAACGTCATCCAGCACGTGGAATAGAGTAAAGTGAAAAGGAACGATGTGAAATGGAACGCAGAATCAAAACAAAACAGAAAATAGGGGTACCAGAAACTCGCTTTTATGATGGTCGTTGGGTTACTAGAAGTTCAAATTAAAAATAAACCTCATTAATATGCACGAAGTATCCTGATGAATGTGGGCGTCTTAGTGGAATACCTGTATAAAGAGAGAGAGAGAAAGATTAGTAATTTCCATTTAATTCCACTACCTTATTTGCTTATCCTTGACAGATAAGCGTATTTCGTCTACAATGTGCGGACTTCTTCAGTTTATTGTACTAATACTCGACTATTAGTACAAGACACTGAAGAAGTCTGCACATTGTAGACGAAATACGCGTATCTGTCAAGGATAAGCAAATAAGGTAGTGGAATTAAATGGAAATTACTAATCTTTCTTTCAAAAGGTTTTGAGCATGTCATACAATTTCCAAGAATTTAACGAAAGTTCCGCAAATTTCAGGGAATTCCGAAGATGTCAGATAAATTTTGGAGGACTTCATTTAAGATCAAAGATGTCCAGCGTTACAAAGCCCGAACTGCATTCTTGTGAACTGAAATAGTCCGAACGGGGTCTGCCGTCTAAGGTATGTCACTTGGTTCTACAGGAATTTGATGGTAATCTGAATCTCTTTGTAAATAAATGTGTGTGTGTGTGTGTGTATTCAATCTCTTTGTAAATAAATGGTACTGAAATTCGACTTACCGCAAAAGGAGTTCAGCAAGTCGTGAATGTGTGGGACTGGATATCTGTAAGGAACAGTTAGGTGATTTAATCGACGATAACCTCCCACAAATCGAAGCTGACCATCCTTCTTAGGCACAAAATGTAGCGGGCTTGCCCAACTACTGCTTGGCCGGCGACAAGTACCGAGCTCCGAAATTCTTGCTTAGTCCAGCTTTCAACTTGTTCGGTGCCATGCGACGAGCTTTGCTGGCAGTAGGCGGTTCTTTTGTTGTAATATGGTGAGTAACATCATGGTTGATTTCCGAACGCATCGTTGATGGCCGCGTTATTTCGCCGAACTCTTCCAACAACTGTCGAAATGGATGATGCAAGTTGATTGTTGTTACTCCATAAAGGGATGAACTTACCACCCCACCGACGGCGTTTAGACTTGTAGTAGCATCGATAAGACGACGATTTTGCAATTCCACAGCCAATTCGAAAAAGGAAAGAAAATCATTGACTACCAGAAATCATCCTGCAAACCTCCTACGCAATCCAAGGTCGGTGTACAGGAATTTAGTGTCGTACGTTTTGATATTTGTGTTATTTGCAGCATGAAGCAAAACGCCAATGGAGACTTTCTTTTATCCATGATAGCTGAGCGTGCCCGGTCTTGCTCGGGATTCAATATTAGCTTGAGTTTATGCGCCGATTAAAAAAAAAGCATGCTATATTGTACGTTGTCGCCCCCCAATTATCTAAGGGGCTACCCCCTATGATTATCTCCTTATACCCCCACATGCCTAATTTGGTTCCATTTGCTTGATTAGTTCTCGAGTTATGCAGAAATTTCTGTTTCATTTGTATGGGAGCCCCCCCTTACAGAAGGGGGAGGGGTCTCGAACCATCATAAGAACAGACAGACAGACAGACAGACAGACAGACAGACAGACAGACAGACAGACAGACAGACAGACAGACAGACAGACAGACAGACAGACAGACAGACAGACAGACAGACAGACAGACAGACAGACAGACAGACAGACAGACAGACAGACAGACAGACAGACAGACAGACAGACAGACAGACAGACAGACAGACAGACAGACAGACAGACAGACAGACAGACAGACAGACAGACAGACAGACAGACAGACAGACAGACAGACAGACAGACAGACAGACAGACAGACAGACAGACAGACAGACAGACAGACAGACAGACAGACAGACAGACAGACAGACAGACAGACAGACAGACAGACAGACAGACAGACAGACAGACAGACAGACAGACAGACAGACAGACAGACAGACAGACAGACAGACAGACAGACAGACAGACAGACAGACAGACAGACAGACAGACAGACAGACAGACAGACAGACAGACAGACAGACAGACAGACAGACAGACAGACAGACAGACAGACAGACAGACAGACAGACAGACAGACAGACAGACAGACAGACAGACAGACAGACAGACAGACAGACAGACAGACAGACAGACAGACAGACAGACAGACAGACAGACAGACAGACAGACAGACAGACAGACAGACAGACAGACAGACAGACAGACAGACAGACAGACAGACAGACAGACAGACAGACAGACAGACAGACAGACAGACAGACAGACAGACAGACAGACAGACAGACAGACAGACAGACAGACAGACAGACAGACAGACAGACAGACAGACAGACAGACAGACAGACAGACAGACAGACAGACAGACAGACAGACAGACAGACAGACAGACAGACAGACAGACAGACAGACAGACAGACAGACAGACAGACAGACAGACAGACAGACAGACAGACAGACAGACAGACAGACAGACAGACAGACAGACAGACAGACAGACAGACAGACAGACAGACAGACAGACAGACAGACAGACAGACAGACAGACAGACAGACAGACAGACAGACAGACAGACAGACAGACAGACAGACAGACAGACAGACAGACAGACAGACAGACAGACAGACAGACAGACAGACAGACAGACAGACAGACAGACAGACAGACAGACAGACAGACAGACAGACAGACAGACAGACAGACAGACAGACAGACAGACAGACAGACAGACAGACAGACAGACAGACAGACAGACAGACAGACAGACAGACAGACAGACAGACAGACAGACAGACAGACAGACAGACAGACAGACAGACAGACAGACAGACAGACAGACAGACAGACAGACAGACAGACAGACAGACAGACAGACAGACAGACAGACAGACAGACAGACAGACAGACAGACAGACAGACAGACAGACAGACAGACAGACAGACAGACAGACAGACAGACAGACAGACAGACAGACAGACAGACAGACAGACAGACAGACAGACAGACAGACAGACAGACAGACAGACAGACAGACAGACAGACAGACAGACAGACAGACAGACAGACAGACAGACAGACAGACAGACAGACAGACAGACAGACAGACAGACAGACAGACAGACAGACAGACAGACAGACAGACAGACAGACAGACAGACAGACAGACAGACAGACAGACAGACAGACAGACAGACAGACAGACAGACAGACAGACAGACAGACAGACAGACAGACAGACAGACAGACAGACAGACAGACAGACAGACAGACAGACAGACAGACAGACAGACAGACAGACAGACAGACAGACAGACAGACAGACAGACAGACAGACAGACAGACAGACAGACAGACAGACAGACAGACAGACAGACAGACAGACAGACAGACAGACAGACAGACAGACAGACAGACAGACAGACAGACAGACAGACAGACAGACAGACAGACAGACAGACAGACAGACAGACAGACAGACAGACAGACAGACAGACAGACAGACAGACAGACAGACAGACAGACAGACAGACAGACAGACAGACAGACAGACAGACAGACAGAAATTCATTTTTATATATATAGAAATAGTAGCTGGAACGATCGGATTCGGTATCTACTAGGAAACGAACTTTGTTCAAGCGATCCTGAATCATTAAATGACGGCTTCGATTCGTACCCACCCCCGCCGTTTGGGATGGGCGACGACTTAGTTTTTATGTACGGATCACGACACTGTCGTGCACGATCACCGTATTTACGATAGTACCAACAGGTCTCCAATCGATTTCTGACACTGGACCGAACTCGCGATGACGATCGGCTTCTACTTGCACCTATATAGGTGCAACTAACGGATTTCAACTGTCAAATTTGCTCGTTGAGCTCGTCTCGATCGAGCACAGTATCAGCAGTCGATTTCGAAGCTATAGCAGATATCGCTGCTACGTGTGGAAATACCGAATCAAGCATTTTATCGGCCATTTCTGCTAGTTTGGAGTTCCGTCATGAATAGTCAAAACAGCTTTGACGTTTGCCGGTACCCGCTGGAGGAACAGCAATTTCATCAGGCTGTCGTCGACATTTAACCTCGCTGCGAGATCTTGCATCTTAGCAAGCAGGTGAGTTGATTCCATGTCGCAAAGATTGCAGGTATTAAGCAATCTCTCCATCTTTGCCTGCGCTGACAGTTCGAAGTGGTTGAGGAGTCTAGCCTTAATTGCGTCGTACTTTTGAGTTTCCGGAGGGTTTGCTACCAGATCGGAAATATGGCACAAAACTGTGTGGTCGACTTTAGCGACGATATGATACAACTTCGTCTCATCGCGTGTTAATCCTCCAAGCACAAACTGGGCCTCATCTTGTGCAAACCACATCACTGGGTCGGACTTCCAGAAATCGGGTAGCTTAATTGCGACCGAAGCTAACACTGATGGATTCACTGGTTTAGCCATTTTGTGATTAGAAGGACACAATGTCGGCCGTAACTCCTATCCCTACCTCCCCGCGGTGCCGGCTG